ATGTAGGAAGAGGAGGGGAAGTGTATTATTTGATTACTTAAAGGTTTAAGAATAACAAAAGAAAAGGTTTTTGGTTTGTCTTCTTCTTATTTTCAGTCAAGGGACTTAAAATAAGTGGAGGAAGACTTTATTTGAAAGGGAATAAAAGACAAGGCAGTTTGGATATTTAGGGATGGTTTGGGGTTTAGATGGCTCGGCCTAAGTGGGATGTAGGACAACAATGGTGTTGGTTTGGGCTTCATGATAGGAAAAAGGAATGAATTCAACCCAATTAAAGTCACCACACTTTGGCTTCATTCTCCTGATTTGTTTTTCCTTTTGTGGACTAAGGAAAGTCTTCGTTGACGCTCCCGAATATCTAACATGTAATCTGTAATCGGTCACTGGGGAAGACAATGCTAGCAGCTGTTGTTAACAGATCAAGTACTCAATTTTGATCGAGTTGGACACCTAGACCTACTTCTAGTATTGGCCCAGCTTCCACTAACAAAATAAACATCTTTCTCAAAATGTCAATAACAATCTTCCACCCTATTTATTCTTGTGGATTTTCCTTGCACATTAATTATGGTGGCTTGAAAATATTTGTGCTCATGTCAAAATTAAATTGGAAAAAAGGGAATAAGGAACAGCCTACATGTAAAAACTAAAAACATTCTAGTTTTGAACACAAGAGTAATAAGACAAACCTTATGAGTCCAGTGAATTCAACAAACAGTTGAAGCGTGCACTTAAAGTACTCTTCCACTGCATCCTTCAGTCTCTCTATCCCATCCATGACAATAACAACAACAACAACCCAGTTAAATCCCACAAGAGTAGGGTCTGGGGAGGGTGTGTGTACGCAGACCTTGACCCACCCAAAATTCAAATTGAAACAAATAACAATATCAGCTATTAACAAGTCATTCCCTCGGTCCAAAATGAAGTTTAGAGTTTAACTCTACATACTTTAAGAAAAGCCTTGAAAAGTAAAAAATGTGCCTTTGAAATTTGTTTGATAAAAGAGAAATATTGTGAGTCTATATATATATATACATACATACATACATGTGTGTGTGTATTCCCATTGGCAATTATGAAGTGAAATCCTATAAACACTATTGACATTCAAAAAGAAGAGTGTAAACTTCATTTTGAGAGGAGTATCACTGTAATTAAAACTATAAAAAGGACAACACATTATGAACAGATATGAAATAAAATATTTTTGTTTAGATGAGAAAGAAACCTCTGATAGGGATAATGGGCATGATCAAATGAGAGCAATTAGTAGCAATTAGATGAGAGAGAGTTGTTGAGAAGACATTTGGTCTGTACCCAACTGCGCAACAGCTCTTATGTATAAACTGTAATTCCTGCAATCGTCAGTTTGAAAAGGAAAATATATATAAATGCATCAGTAGATCTGTAGATGGATAGACTCGTTTTCTCTGTAATTTGATTAATTCCGGTTATCCGGCAGAGAAAATCACCTTGCAGAGATCGAGAGGAAGAAAGTTGCGGAGGATGAGGCGGCGGTGATCGGAATCTGCCATAACTCGGTTTAGCTGTCGGAAATGAAAGGTTTCGCGGATGAATTTGCAGAGGTTTAATCTTATTTATGTTGGGAGGCTGTCCCTCACCCCAACCCCGCATTAGTATGATATTGTTCGGGTCAAGCCCTCACAGATTTGTTTTTGGGCACCTCCCAAAAAGTCTCATACTAATGGGGTTGGGTGAACCTATATATTTTGGTCCATTTTTACTTCTCCCTCCGGTGTGGGACTTGGAGGAATCCCAACAATTTATACAAAACATTACTCCGTATAAAAAAAGATCATAATGGCATATTCTGCTCTGCAGGTTATTGAGTTATTCTATGAGGAAAAAAGGAGCCGCTTCCATGAGGGCTTCCTCAAACCAGGTCAAACGAGACAGTTCCTTAAATTAAACTTTAATCGGGTGACAAAGATCAGGATATTCTATGAGGATAGGATAGAAAATCTATCTATCTATCTCAATCATAATACAAATACTCTCTCCATGCAATTTTTTGAGACTAGATAACTTAGACTCCCAAATAAATATGTATTCCTTCATCTTCTTTCAATCTTTTATAAGAAGTCACACTAAATAACACTAAAATATAGAAAAACTATCAAAATACGAGTAGAATTTGTACTATGATAATGTGGCACTGTACATGATGTAAATGTATTTTAACTCCTATTTCGAGAATAAAAAAATGGATGAGCTATTTTGATATATTTTCAATCTTTTACTCATACTTTTGTCTTTTTCCCATCTTTTATTTGACTTTTCCTGATTTTCAATGTAATATTTTGATCATTAATATCATTATTTATAGATAAATAAAATTAGAAAAATGTAACATTTAAAACTATATTTCAAAATAAACATATTAATATTATATTTATATCACAATTCAACTTACTTTTTTCATAATTTGTAGGCAAAATTTTAAAAAAACTGGCCTTAAAAGTTAAAATCAAAAAATTCGGCCTGGTTTGCTTTTCATAATTTGCCGGCCAGGTTTGCCAATTTTTTGCCAATTACGCAGGCTCTAATGTTGAAGCTAGCTTTGTAAATTTAAACTTGGGTCTCAATCTATCATTATGATAAATCCGTTTCGTTCTCATCATTTATGTCATATTCTAAATGCTATTACACGTAAATAGTATTTAATCGTCTCATAAAATGTGTTTTCAATGAATAAAACTCTCATTTTCATTTTAAGAGTCATAAAAGGGGATTCCACATGAAATCATCACAAATCATCCATTTTATGTTCAAATACTCGAGAAAAGGAGAAAGAAACATCAAGGGATCAAAATTCGGTCTCGAACGAGCTTCCGAGAGGTCAAAAAGGGCCAAAGAAAAGCGAAATTGGGCCTAATTTACGAACCAGCCACGAAGCCCAACGGACCAGGATCTGAGGCGTCCAACTTGGACGCTTGGAGTTGGACGCTTCAGCTAAATTGCAGCCTAAGAATGACACGTGAGAAGCAGATTGGCCGGGACACATAGCCATAACGTCCAAATCCGGATGCTTGGAGTTGGACGCTTGGCGTTCGACCCTATAAAAACAGTGCCTCCCCTCTTCATTTGCTATCACATTCCATTCCATTCCATCACAATTTCGAGTTATATAATTCTCTACTCCATTTCAGCTTATAGATCAGTAAAGTAGTTAGTTTAGAAGTATTTTCGAAGGATTTTGACTCCTGATCTGTTCTATTCCACATGTACGGAAGTTGTAAGTTTTCCCAATTTAATATAATGTTATTTTAATTATGTTGCATAATATGAGTTAGGGTCCGAATCCTGGTCCGAACTAGTTTGGATTTATACTTTGTATGTTTAGTTAATGTTGGAATGATTATCCTGAAATTGTTTTTGCCTTATATAGCACATTAATATTGAAAACATAACTACTCCCTCCGTCTCGGAGTATTCGTCCAGTTTTGACTTTTGGAACTGTTCATCTAAGCACTTTGACTCATCAAATTCTCTCAATGTGTAAGCTTAAATGTAGTCATGTGTAATCTTGTTTGATTTGTCTTAACATATAGATTATTAATATATAATTTCTATAATTTTTTAATATACAAATTACAAGATAAAATGGATTAAAGAAGTGTATTGGATGGTGTGTAAAAATGAAAGTGGACAAATACTCTGGGACGGAGGTAGTATATATTGAATAATATTATACGCCGTAAGGCTGTAGTATTCAAGACAAACACGGTAATTACGAATCCTAGTAATAGGTGAGTAATAGTAGAAATACGCTCGTTCCAATCGTTACAATAGCTCTTTAGCCAACACAAGTTTGATCAATTGATGATAGTTTAAAGCTAACTTGAGGCAAAGAGTGATCTCTACTACACCATAAAGAAGAAATCTTACAACTTTGTTAAATTCTTCTCCCTTGGAGATTTCCCAAATAATGAATCACAAAGTGATCTCCGGATGATGCACGTCGCCCAATTCTTGTAGCCTGTTGATAACTTTATCAGCAATGTCTCGATAAGCTTGGGAGACTGCAGAATAAGGTTGTGATACTACAATGGGGACACCTTCATCAGAACCGCTTCTGATGCCTACTTCTAGTGGCACCTGTTGCAAGAAACTCGATACCATTAAAGCAATATATATGAAAATCCTAAGTTGACTTGAAAGAATCATGTAATTTGCACATGTTTACATGGCATTAAATTTCAGGACAAAGTACCTCTATGCTATATCTAAAAATGTTCAATTAGTCCATGCCCTGAAAATCGAAGCAATTTAGTGCATGTGCTATTCTGTTTTGTCCAAACCTGTCCTTTTGTATACTTTTGCTCAAACATAAGGCCCCAAACTAATGGCAATGACATGTAATTCTACTTCAGACGACATGGAAATGCTGTATAGGCTTGCTGGTTCGTCCTTAATTCGTTTATTTATTTTTGATAGAATTTAGGATGGGTATGGACAACTGGATTAGGCAATAAGACACCTGGGTTGAACCACATTAAAAGATTGAATCCAATCGATTAGTTAGTTCAACTCAAGGGCTTATATACCGGTTTATTTTCTCTTCAAGTTCCGATGTGGGATATTCTTTAACAATTTTGTTTTATGAAAAAATAAAAGGATAAAATTGCTTATTGTATGATGACTAAATTGTACAGAGTACATTTCATAAAGAGCAATTTTCTCCTACCTTAAGACTTGATTCAGATATCTCATTGCAAAAAAAAACATGTATATTGTCATGTGCATTGAAACCTAGTATTGAAGAATGAATGAATACCTCGCCAAGAAACTTCATACCCATTTCCTCGGCTGTTTTACGCGCCCCACCTTTTCCAAAGATATATGAGGGCTCACTGCAATGTGGGCATTTAAAGAAACTCATGTTTTCCAAGATTCCAAGGATCTGTTTGGGTATTGAATAAATATGAGGTTAGAAAATTGTTGAACTTGCTCTTTTGAAACCAATGTGCATTTGGTTGCAGAAATACAAGAGTTATAGAAAGCTTAACCAAACAAGTAAGTAATCACACCGGAACATTAACTTTGGAAAACATTTTCACGCCTCTACGAGCATCCACTAATGCAACATCCTGAGGAGTTGAGACAATCAATCCTCCTATTGGGAAAAGTGATATCGGAAAACATTAGCCACAAGAATAAAATACTAGGAAGTATTAAAGAAACTCAAGACATTTGTGAAAGGCATAATACAATATGGCACTTACTAATTTTAACCGACACAAATGCAAAAATGAAGTTTGATTCCAGAAAGTATTACTGCTGAAAATTCAAAAACTTCAATTCTTCAAGTGAAGTGATGCAATTATACTGACAACATAGAATGGTGTTTCCTTTTTGCTATGTTTGGTTTGAGGAATTAGGAAGGAAAGGAATATCAATACAGAACCTAGAAAACACCATGGATAGAAAATACGGAGTAAAATTGGAAGGAAAGCAAATCTAGAAGAAAATAGTAGAAATGCAACAGCTCTATATATTTATCTGTTTCTATTGCATCAATATTAAGAAATCTTAATGTATGTATAATAAATTTAAAGCAAATCATCTATTTTCCTTTTCATTTTACAAGGTAAAGTCAAAAGAAAATTACTTTGCTTAGAACTTGTTTTCCTTTCCCTAGAAATTTTTGAGATCCAAACGTACCCTTAAGGAACAATAGAGAAGAAAAGAGGATCCTTCATATATCCTTGTAAAAAGGTGTAAAAAGTGGGGTTATGCTTAATGTGTATTGTGTCCCATCCATAATCCTATAACCTGGAACCCCTTTAAGGTCCATCGGCATTTTCACCACTCCCAAACAGAGATAAATAAGCAAGTCAAAAATCAAAATTCCCCTCACAAGTCCCCCAACCAAACAAGCCCTAAAGGTACATCAGCATATGTTATCGACATTCTTTCGGTACCTGATAGCTGAAGCCTCTGGGAGATAGTTATCTGAGCATCACCCGTCCCAGGGGGCATATCCACCACAAGAATATCTAGGATCCCCCAATCAACTCCTCTAGTCATCTGCTCAAGAGCTTTCATGACCTGCAAGGGAAATTGTCTATATAGATTTTGAATTCAAACTTCACACTCCTCTTTTTTTGGGTCTATCACCATCAACCAAAACTCCAAAAGTAGTTAGTGCTTAAAGTATGGGGCAGCAGAAGCATACCATAGGTCCTCTCCACACAATTGCTGCATCCTCTTCCACAAGAGATCCCATTGATATGCACTTCACACTGTAACTTTCAATTGGAATCATTTTCCTGTCTGTCAACAAAAAACATAAGAATCTAAGAAACTATCTCCGTCCCAACATATTTGTCCAGTACTCCTTTTTGTACCGTCCCGGTGTTATTGTCCACTTTTCATCTAAGGAAAATAAATAGAGTGACATTGATTTATTTGACTCATCTAGTACTCTAACTCCACCCACTCAAAAAGTAGATGCAAGGGCATAATGATCATTGTCTTCTCTTTTTCCCCTTTCCTTTATCAATGTGCCAAAAAGGAATGTGGACAAATAAATCTAGATGGAGGGAGTACAATACAACAACAACCAAGTGAAATCTAGCAACCCTTGCATATAAATGTGTATAGGTTGCTACTAAAGAGGGAGTAAAATGCCAAACAACAAAAATCTCCTATACTTACATGATTATAAGTAACCAATGCATGTGAAGATGGCCTAACCTTGACTGACTTCAGGCTTTCCGTGGAGACGCATCATCAAAGGAATTGAAGGCCCATATATATCAGCATCTAGCAACCCAACTTTAAGCCCACAGTTATTAGCAAGCGAAACCGCCAAATTAACTGCAAAACAAATATGATTTACACAATAATTACTAAGAAAAATGCACAATACTCTCAGTAATACAACCCACACAATTGCCATTTAGCTACTAAATTGATCTCGATTCCAAACACGGAAGCAATAACAAAGCAGATGCATAGCCATTCACAGGTACCCGCAGTTGTAGACTTGCCAACACCGCCTTTGCCCGAAGCAACGGCTACTATATCTTTAATCCCTTCAATCTTGAGGTTCCCGGGTTTGCCTGCTGCTGTCGCAAACCCTCTCAGCCCACCAAGCTTCAAAATGAGTCATGCCGACACAAAATGTCAATCTTTTGGCATAGATTGAGAGTCTAAAGTTTGGGGATGGGAACTAGAAACAACGAATTTTCAAAAGTTTACACAAGATTTGACTGTCCAGACATTCCCAAGTGACCAATGGGGACGTTTTAGGGATTGTAAACAGAAATTACTTGAAATTTCAGTACAAACGACATATAATTCAATCTGATCGAGTTCCTTACAGTGAAATTCTTGGAAAGGCCCTTCATAAGTTCAGCTGGAGAGCGAAGAACAGAAAGAGCGGAAGCCACCGTGGTCGGGGGAGGCGATGAAATGCATTCGATTGAACCCTTCAAAGCTCCGAGAACAGAGAGTAGTCAGTCTGTCCCTGGTAGAGTGGGCATGGCACACGGTGAATGGTGATTTCATGCCCCTTTTGACATGACTAACCTTGCGTAAGAAAATAATAAAATTAAATTAACATTAAATACTATACGCAATAGGGTGCCAGAAAGACCAAAGTAGGACTAAAACATTGAAAATATAACAAAATAGGACTTCCATGTTTTTATTCTCGAAATAGGACTTACATTACCATACATGGTCATATACATTACCAAAAACGTATAGTAATTTGCACATGTACACTGCTACATTACCACAAGGCAAAGTCACATTACCACAGTGCAAAGTTCTATTTCGGGAAAAAAACATGAAAGTCCTATTTTGGTACTTTTATCTATGTTTTAGTCCTATTTAGGGTGATTTCTACATTTTTAACGGTTGCTACATTTGCGGATGTGCCAACACGCGCCACACCACTCATCTGCCGCTGCCACCGTCGTTCACTGTTGCGAGGTTGCGGGGTGCAGCTATCCGCCACCATGAGATTGTTGGAGAGCCGCAACCAATCGTTTGCATTGGCGGTTGACCAATCAACTCTTTTATTTTTTAGCCAAATTCTAGGGGTACACCAAATATGTACCCCATTTGTCCCCCACCTCCTCCTTGTCCACAAAAAAAGGTAAGAAATTTAAAAAAAATGAATAAATAAAAATAAAATAAAAATGGGTGGTGGAGAAGGGGGTGGTGTACATTTGGGATACACCTTTGGTGTACCTCTAGCATTGCTCTATTTTTTATCATTTTTATTTCCAATAACATCACAATTCTATTTAAAAAAGTAAAGTATATCCAAATATTCACTTCAATTATAGTATTTTTATTTAGTTTTACATTTTTTCTTAAAATGGAAGACAATAATATTGGAGTTGAGTATGGTTAACCAATCTTTTCCATTTCCGTCTCCATCTGGATGGTCGATCTCGGATTTTTCCGTCCCAGTTTTGCTCCTCGTAGAAATCTTCTTCACACGCTTTGTGTAGATAGATATTGTTTGTTTACCAAAACCCCCTTCATCTGATTCTGGCGTGGAAGCTACAGTTTACAGAGGCGTTTTTTTCAATCCAAAGCTCCTCCATTAGGAACCATACTCCTTCCAGCTTCATTTCTCTCTTGGTATGTATATATGTATTTGTTTGTATGTATATGTGCGTGTTTAAGTGTTTTTCTTACCTTATTCTCTCGAAACCAAATCCAGAAAGAGTTCTGTTTTACCCTCATCTTTGTCCCCGAGCAAAGGGTACTTGATATTCATCCAAGATTTCTATCGAACAGTTGATCTGCACCTGAATTTTAGCTAGTTTTCTTGTTCAATTTGCTGATTTTTGCACTGGGTCTGTTTTAATCGCGTAGGTACTGTTGCTTGTTTGGGTCACTTGGATTGGTTCGTACTCAGATCCTATAATGAACGAACAGCATGGGAATTCAGGGGCGAGCTCGGCGAGTGCTAGTTTTAGTGGTAGTTCATTGGGTACGCAGGATGATCATACTATTGCCAAGATATTAGGAGAGGAGGAAGAAAATGCTTTGAAGCACACGAGCACGCTTGGAAAGAGGCTTTCACATTTAGGCTCAATTCCGGTACGTTCGAGTGAATTAATGATGGCATTTGAAATTTTCCATTAGCTCGACAAGTAAAAAACAAGATTAACTGTTAGCTACGGTATAAAGGAATCCATGTCTTTTGATGCATTAGAAGTACAGACAAGTACCATTGAAATTTTAAAGTTCTGGCGTGCACCATCATGTTTCAAATCATTCTAAGGCTATATTGTATTAACTATACTGCGCTACTGGCAGCACGTTCCAAGGGTAATTGAAGCCATACCCGATACTAATGATGCCACATTGGACCACGCAAGGCTTTCTGAAAGGTAACCGGTTATGTCCTTTGTTTTAACAGTGCTAGATTGAATAGATGGTAACCAAATTGATACATGGGGTATAGTGTGTTAATCATTCTTGCTAATTTCACTTTTAATATATTTAGGCAACTTGATAATGTTGTATGCCTCTTCATAATGAATAACTAGAGCCATCCTTCATAGGAAATAATTGTCATTTGAAGACAACTTGATACTTTTATTCTTCTTCATTCTATTTATAGTACTCCTAAGCAATAATGTTTCTTGCAATTTTTTAAAAAACACTTCCCACATCTTTAGTGATCTCTCAGGTTGGCACAATATCGTCTCACTGAAGTTCACATGGAAGGAGATGGGAATTGCCAAGTTAGTCTCCTTTAACTTGACTTTCAGACTTATTTCGTTAGGTAGACACATGTGCCATTTGCTATCGTATAGTTATGTAGTATCACCATGAATGATCATTTTACATGTTCTTACCACTGTCTAAAAAATACCTCATTGGACAGTTTCGAGCCCTTGCAGATCAGATTTTTCAAAATCCAGGTCATCATAAGTATGTACGGAGGCAAGTTGTCAAGCAGGTGTGATTACAATAAATTTTCTTACTTTTCAGGCATTCAGCTATATTTCACCAACTATTGAGTGGAAATTTCATGCAAGGTTCCATATAGCTTCTTAGTTGTTTGTATCACGTGATTGACATTTCGATATTGTTAGTTTCTCTTGGGAAATCAATTCTCGCAATTTCTTGGGAAATCAATTTCCATATTTCGTGTTGCCTGTCAGGCTCCATCACTCTGTTTCCTGATTGAATAATGAAACATATTTAATTTACTGTAAAATCTGGACGCTTCTAGAATGTTGAGTTGCTAGACTTTTAGCAGTCCAACAACTTTGGACCTCCTAATACCTTACCTGCAAATGCCTTAATTCCATTTTCCTCTGAGTATCTAGTGGGAAGAGGGAGCGATGGAATAGTGCCTTCCTTATTGGTCAGCACGTTAACGTTGAGGGTACTGGTAGATGGTGGTAATGTGGCTGATGCAATTTGGGTGGGGTTTTTGTTTTGGTGCCAAAAATTTCACCTATATTCTGAGTTTGTCAATTGATTTTAGTTCTTGGCCCAAATCTTTGAGGATAATTCATTATTTTTTTCCATGAGACCATGAATCCGTAAGCATTGAAATGTTTACATAGAGCTGTGGGAGATCCTGAACCTCAGCTTCAATGCCCTTGAGGTTTCCCATGTCGATGCCTCAACCTAAATGTTATGTTCACGGGCTAAAGTTTTGTGTTATCACCAACATTTATAAGACCATCGTCCTCTTCCTCATTTTGCTTTTCACTTTACCGGTGACAAGCTTACAACAATGTCCCACATTTCATTATTGGTAACACTCTTGGAAAGTTGCAAGCACATACATTTTTTGTGTGTTCTAGGCTTCCAGCCAAGTGATGCTTAGTTCAAAAAAAGTGATGCTTAATTCAAAAAACCCCTCCTGTTATTATTTTGCTATAATTGTTATTTCCATCAACGAGCTTGCAATCTTTCCAAGCCACACCAGTTTTCTTGCCACAAGCATTTTTTGCTAGTGGTTTGGTAAGAGTGGCGGCTCAAGTGGTCAAGTCGGATTTGATCATTTGAAGACTTGATTATCTACAAGGTGTAAATGCAAAGCTGGGAGACAAAACAAATTTAGAACAATAGGAGAGACAAACAACAACAACCCAGTTAAATCCCACAAGAGTAGGGTCTGGGGAGGGTGTGTGTACGCAGACCTTGCCCCTACTTGAAAGTAGAGAGGCTGTTTCCAAAGAGACCCCCGGCTCAACGTCGAAAATTGCATTGCTTGACTAACTGCTACTTCATTAATTAAAGAAGCACGGATAGTTTAGAGATCCATTTTGATTTATTCCATCACACCCCAAAGCCAAAAAATGGTGAAATTTTGGCTCCATCGGAGATGGAGAGAATATTTAAAAAATCAGAAAATTTATGTGACACCAAATATGACAAGTGAATAATAGGAGAGAATATTTACATATATACCTCAGTGGATGAGAAGACAACAACAACAACATTACCCCAGTGCCTCAACGGCTCCCGCCTATTGCATGGTAACTGGTATGGGGGGTCGGATGTACGCAGGCTGACCCCTATGTTTTAAACATAGAGCGGCTGTTTCGAGATGACCCATGATGAGCGTCGAACGTTGCATTGACCAAATGCTACTTCACAGTTGCTAGAAGTGCAGACAATTTAGAGAGCCAAATTGCTTTATTCCATCATATCCCAAAGCCAAAAAATAGTGAATCTTTGGCTCCACAGTGGATGAGAAGAAATACAGATTATTAATTTGATGAAGAGAGAACCAGAGATTGTAAGATTGTGTAGGTCGCGGACGCAGTGGAAAATTTTGCAGAACTGGACAAAAGGAGAAGGGAGTAATTTTTTTGAAGACTTCACAGAATCCAAGGCGTAAGCGTGAATGAGTAGCAGCCGCATACATTTAACTATACTCCTATAAGCGTTACAATTGAAAGTGTTTAAAATTTTTTAAAAAAGAATTGGAGTGGTGAGTATGTTGCTTTCTGTCTTTCCGACTTGCTTTTTATTCAGTCAAGGCAAGAGCTCATACAACTCAAGCATTATAACTATCCTGAACAGTATCCAAAACAATCTCGCAAAATTTAGGATTTCCCTTGCGATCTGAATTGAAATAGCTCTACAAAACAAAGAATCGGACGTTTCTATGTGCCAACTAACGATTTGACTACTATGAGCAGCAGAACTACCATGAGTAGGGGACTACAGGCATGCATCTAGAGCTTTGGACTTCATGAAGAATAACCAAAGCATAAGGATAGAATTTTCAGGAATCATGGATATAAGTTTGAAGTACTTAATTTTGTTTGCTTACAACTCATGAATTTCTTAGACTTAAATAATACGGAGTAGTAGGTACTAAACAAGGTAAACTGTAAAAGTCATATACTTCCTCCAGTCCCATAGAATTCTTTACGGTTTGACTTTCACGGAGTTTAAGAAAAGTGTTAAAAAGTAAGAAGTGTATGGTTAGAATTTGTTTAAATGAGAGAGAAGTAATGTGAGCCACATTCATTACTAAAATAGGAAATAAAGTACGTGTAAAGTTTTTTTTGGACGTCCAATAAAGGAAAGTGAAAGGGATTTTATGGGACGGTGGGAGCACTTCATATCTTTTTAAAGCCTATGTGTAATGTCATGTGGTGTTTAATTACTAAGCACCAGCAAAACACGCATCATATTAGCTCCCTCCATTATCCCTGAACCCTCTCCAAGCATACACATTCACATTTTGATATTGAGCATAACTGTTTTCGCTGTTATTCTGAAATCTGGGGCCTTAGCTTCTAAATTGTTTTCAGCTAAAACGTTACAGAACACTATATGAAGGCTACATTCCAATGGCGTACAAAAGCTACTTGAAGAAGATGAAGAGGTCAGATAATGTTTTCAAGTATTATTGTTCTTTGAAACGGATGTGTCTCACTACTCACTGATATCATTTTAGATCAGGGGAATGGGGAGACCATGTTACTCTTCAAGCAGCAGCAGACCGTGTAAGTTTTTCCGTTTTCTTTTTCATGGAAAAGAGTTTATTGGGGAGTTATTTCCCAGGAAAACATTTTTATAAAAGTAGTTGTATATACAGTATAATGTTTAATGCATAAAACCTGAAAAAATTAAACAGCTCAATAGAGGAAAGCCATTTTCACAAAAGCTGAAGGAATCGTAGAAATAATTTTCCTTAGTAAACATTTTCCAGGAAACATACAGACCTCTCATTGCACTCTACTTTCCTAGAAGCGTGTGTGTGAAATTGATGAATCTAATTCTATGGTATTTTCAAGTGTGTCAGTATTGATATGGGTGTAGGGATGGCAGTATGGCCGGAGTCCAAAGCAGGTCTGATCCGATGCAAATTTATAAGATTTGAAACCAAAAAATATAATCCGATCCGAGTCCGATTAAAAAATTGGATCCCAAATTAGATAGGATCAAAATGTGGATCTAGTTCGATCCAATCCGGTTAAAGTCCGATCCGTCTAGGCCCATCAGTGGTGGGCCTTATAAGGAAGTTATAATCTATAGCTTTCAATTTCAACATATTTGTAGTGATGGCTATGTATGTGGATCTATATTTGCAGTTTAGTTGTTAGAATTAGGCCCTGCTTGTTTGAACTTGTTAGAACAATTGTTGAGAAATTTTAGGGTTTTACTTGTATAATGTGACCTATAACGATATTAAAAAAAGGTTGGGTAGAATTTTGAGAAGGAGAATAATTGGCATTTCAAATTAAAAGGTTGAAGGTATTTTGGAAGAGGGGTACTGTTGCTGTGACATTATAGTCACTCTAACATTTCCAAAATAGAGCTGTAAAATATCAAAATGGAGCACTGTTGAGAAATAATGCCCTAAAGCAATGAACCAAACAATCCCTTATTGTGTAGATTAATGAATGTTTAGTAATGAGCCTGTGGCTTACTTGCGGTTCTAAAATCAACCATTTTCCAATGTTTTGTATGAAATTATTAAGTCGATAAAAATTTTAAACGGAGTAATCTTGAAAAAATTTCTGTAAATCATCCATGAAAAGGTAACTGACTTACTGCATAAAAATCGTAACCGGATTGCCCCAAATTCAAATCCAATCCAATCCAACATGATTGGATCTGGATTTGGATTTGATTTTACATTCTGATTCTTATTTGGATCTATATGAGTTTGATCCATATCCGACTTGTTGTCATCCCCTCATCCCTAGTGCGGTACTGTTGTAGTCTATAAATATAGGCATAACATCCAAATCTTAAGCCAGACATCAATTCTCCTTATGGCTTCTCTATTGTCATTCCATATTACTATATTAGTGTTTAATCTCCTCCTTCATGCTTTTCATAGAAAGGTAATCCTTTTATTGTTCTTAATTCTTATTGCAGTTTGAGGCTAAAATATGTTTAGTCACTTCCTTCCGGGACACTTGCTACATTGAGATTATTCCCAATAACAATCGCCAACCTTCAAAAGGTATGTACATGAAACTGCATTTGTCCCTTTTATCCCTAATATTTAAAGGATCTATTGACCATAATTATACATTTGTTTAGAAAATGTTTAGATCTCTCCAAAGTCCAAACACTTGTTTCAGATCTCAAACCCTATATCGTTTCTTTCATATCTATTGCTTCTCTGCTTTAAGCTTCCTGATTCATATGCTCCTTTTCGAATGTAGAGTTGTGGCTGAGCTTTTGGAGCGAAGTGCATTACAATTCTCTATATGAAGTAGACGGAGGTAACAAAACCATTCTATGATCGAACTTTTTATTACTCCGTACTGTATAAAGTGTTGTTTCCGGCGGCTCATGCCATACTTGATGTGCAACAGCGATCCCTACAAGACACCCGCGAAAGAAGCATTGGCTTTTCTAGGCTGCAGCTAGAATTATGATGGGAGAAAGACTAAAATAGAAGTAAAACATAAAAAAAACCAAAATACGACCTTCATGTTTTTATCCCCAAAATAAGGGCATACAATGCCAATAATGCCAACATTTATAACCAAAAAACAGTGGAATGACAATGTACAATGCCACATTGTGTCGCAGTACAAAGTTCTATTTTGGGGATAAAAACCTATCGCTCCTATTTTGGGGATAGAGCTATGCTTTACTCTTATTTTCGGTGATTTCTTAATTATGATTTGGTTGGTGCTGGGTAACAACTCATCAATGTCTGAGAGTTTATGTTGTGTTATGGGTGTAATGGAGCAGGATTTTTATATACACAATATTATACCAATGGCTTGTAGTAGAAAAAAAACACCAATGCCTTGTACATAATATTACAGAACATCAATAAGAATGAATATTTCTCTAGTAGCTCTGTAATTGACTTTAGAAGGTTATATTGTGGAGTAGTAGATGAGCAATTATCATGTGGGGCAATTGAGTCAATGAAGATGCAATGCAATTTACTAAAAAAAATTGAAAAAATTTTACTCCCTCCGTTCTCAAAAACACTTATTCTTTCATTTTTTCCATTTCCTACAAAACACTTCCACTTTCTATTAAAATAAATCACTTTTACCCTTACTTTTTCATACCCTACCTATCATATCATACTTTTTCTCTAATAATTTATTCATCACATTTTACTTTTACTCATCACATCAGGGGTAAAATTGGAAGTCAACTATAATTTAACACTTCTTTATTTTTGCTCCAAATTAAAATATGAAGTCTTTTTGCAAACGAAGGGAGTATAAGGTAGTGCTCGGAAACTAGAACTCATTTCAAAACTTTAGATTTCAATTTCAACATTTAAATCTCATGATTTCAAATTTGAAATGTTGTTTGAGAAATAATAGAATTTTAATTCTTGAATTTTAATTTTGAAGTCAACAAAGACGGTGGTAGGAGTGAGTTGATATGTATGAAATTGTTGCATGAGGGGGAGATTAATTTTTAATTACAAGTTATAAATCAAGAAAAATTAGGCTTGATTTTGTAAATGAAAGAGGTGTGGATTTGAGCTTGTTTTGAATTAGAAGAATTTGGTCTAAATCTAAATTCAAATTCTTTTGGTTTCTAAACAAGTAATTTGGATCAAATCTAAATTTTTAAATTCTAATTTCTAAACACATCATAAATATTTCTCAATATATTGGGATATTCCATTTTTAGTCACTATATAAAAATAGGGGTGGACATGGTACGGTTCCAGAACCGCCTGGTCCGGTACCGCCACCCTTAGGAATCGGTACCGTGACCGGACCGAACGGTATCGGTGCCGGTACCCAGACCGGCGGTTCCGGTTTCGGACCGGCCGGTTTTGGACACCCCCTATTTTTTTTTTTTTGCTTTTTTTAAAAATTTTAAAAGTGTAAAATTGTAAAAGTGTAATTGTTAAAGAAAATAATGAAATAAAAAATCTAAAAATGTTGTTATTTTAAAATTAAAATGAGTAATACACGAACTGAAGAACAATTGCATTTAATATCCTGACGTTTCAAAAAAAGTGACGAGTTAAAGAGCCATTAAGAAACCCTCGAAGTAGCTTATATATCGCTCACATAAAAAACTAATTACATATTTGCATTAACATAAAATATTTCCTTTTTTTGCAGGTGGTGGGCCGGCAATGGTGGAGCAGGAGTGCAGGACAGCAGGCGAGCCAAGGAAAAAAATTATATTTATGGTACCGGAACCAGTACTGGTACTGGCGGTGCCGCTACCAAAATACTGGCACCGAAACGGTATCGACGGGGCGGTGCCAGTACCGGTTCCCGAAGCCGTGGTGTAACAGGCAGCAGTGATGGTAGCTGGTGCTAGGGGTGGGCGTGAAATCCGTTCTCGTTGGACCGTTCCGAAAAATCCTGAATCCGTTTTGTAATTGTACCGAACAATTGGGGCACAATTTTTTTATCCCGAACCCGTTCCGTCCCATTATCAAATGGGACATGAGCGGGACAACTTAAATTTATACCGATCCGTCCCGTTTGTTCCGTTTTATCTACTTTATTAATATATAATTCTATTCTTTAATTAATTAAGTTAACTTCAAGTTTCAACCCAAAATTTATTAAATTTATTTGGTCCAAACTCCAAACGGTCCAAAGTCCAGACTCCAGAGCCCAATTACGTCCCATTATTAACCTAATTCACTTTTAAAGTTTTAATACATAGCGTGCTTCCTCAATTGATTCCTCAGTTTGCATACCCAAAGCATCTGTAAGTTCAAATTTGCCTTGAATTGATTACTTCCCTTTGGTTTTTCAGTACTTAAAAGTTTAAACAATTGAATTGCTAATGTTTAAATAACTAGATTAGACTAGATTGCTAAATATTAAATTAATTTAATAACTTTTTTTGAATTATTAAATTAGGATTAGGACAAAGTAGGACGACCCGAATCCGTCCCGGTTTGTTCTGGTCCCGAATTTTATGGGACAAACCGGGATAAGATTATAATCCGAACCGTTCCGGACCGTTTATATAAAACGGGACAAGACGCGGAACAACCTAAATCCGGACCGTCCCGATCCGTGCCCACCCCTAAGCGGGACAACTTAAATTTATACCGATTCGTCCCGTTTGTCCCGTTTTATCTACTTTATTAATATATAATTCTATTCTTTAATTAATTAAGTTAACTTCAAGTTTCAACCCAAAATTTATTAAATTTATTTGGTCCAAACTCCAAACTGTCCAAAGTCCAGACTCCAGAGCCCAATTACGTCCCATTATTAACCTAATTCACTTTTAAAGTTTTAATACATAGCGTGCTTCCTCAATTGATTCCTCAGTTTGCATACCCAAAGCATCTGTAAGTTCGAATTTGCCTTGAATTGATTACTTCCCTTTGGTTTTTTAGTACTTAAAAGTTTAAACAATTGAATTGCTAATGTTTAAATAACTAGATTAGACTAGATTGCTAAATATTAAATTAATTTAATAACTTTTGTTGAATTATTAAATTAGGATTAGGACAAAGTAGGACGACCCGAATCCGTCCCGGTTTGTTCTGGGCCCGAATTTTATGGGACAAACCGGGATAAGATTATAATCCGAACCGTTCCGGACCGTTTATATAAAACGGGACAAGACGCGGAACAACCTAAATCCGGACCGTCCCGATCCGTGCCCACCCCTAGCTGGTGCTGGCGATACCGTTGCTGGTAACGGTACAATGTCCATGCCTATATAAAAATACCATTGAACGCCACTTTGAATGTGAGTCTTGTCTTTTTGTTTAAAGCCAGAATAAAAGAAGAAATGGCCCAAAATTTAATGAATTTTTTTTACCCAAAATATGGAGTTCTAATGAAATTTCATAAAATAGTTAATTAAAATATGGAATGTTATATATTTTAGTGTAACTGGAAAAACTATGACCAATGCTATCCTAATAATCATCAAAGAAGTTTGGTGATGCGGAGTGCACGCTTCATTGAGTTTGTTACGATAAAAAATCCCGTTACATCGGGGGTTCCAAGGGGGCATCGTCCCCTTGGCGGGGGTTCGGGGGCAGCGCCCCCGAGCAAGGTTCAAGGGGCGGCAGTCCCTGCGGGGTCCAAGGATCGCGTTACCTTTGTGCTCGGTGCTATGTTAAAAAATTCAATTGGAATTTTAATTTTCAAATTTTCTTTAAAAGAAAACTTCCGATTGGATAGCACCGAATTTTGAAGAACTTCCGCGCGAAGGATCGCGTGACTTGGGAAAGAGACGCGATGGTGTCTTCTCCCTCTACCGCAAGTTTATAAATTCCCGTAGGCCATGGTCGAATTTCTGTTCGAAAATTTCATAGCAATTCTCATATTTCGTTCTTGATACTTTCGAGTTTTATCCGATTGAATTTATGATTGAACGATGTGTTCTACACGACTCTTGATTCATCCAAGTTTTCGTGAATTTCCCCAACATGGAATATCTTTAAAAACATTAACCATTATATTCACTTTGCATTAAAAAAACATTATACTCACTTTATTTCATCCTTGATTTTTTATTTGATGTAAAATGTCACATTTATCCTTCAAGTAAACTAAATCTTTATCTTAACCATTTTAGATGTCAGCCACCACTGGGTGCCATTCTTTTTCCCTCGTTCATCACTCTAATTTTGTACGGAGTATGTTTTTATTGATTGTCATTTTTGGCACCTATTATATTTTAGAACTTTTGAATGATATAATTTATAGTACCTCCGTCTCATTTTATAACGCATGTTTCGGTTTACGATGTTTGACTGAAATTATTTTCAAACCATTTTATATAACAAATGGTATAGAATTAAAAAATAAAAATTACATATTAAAAAATACATCAAAGGATCTACAAAACTAATAGTGACAATAATATTTTATTTTATCAAATTGCTAACGAAAATAGAGAAAGAAAGTGAATGGAGTTTGATCCTGTGAATAGTAAACATACATTATAATTTGGGACGGAGGAAGTAATTTATATTTCTATACCAATTTGTAATTAAAATAATATTAAAAATATTGAGATTTAACAATTTGTTCAAAGAGTGACATTTGTTTTGGGACGGAAGAAGTACTTGTGAATGGCATACTTTGCCCCCATGTCTTAAGGTTCGGGGTCATCAGGTGTTCCAAATTGGATTATTCCATTACAACAATACTTAAAACACCCCTTCATTTTTCAAAGTTGATGGATTTTTAACAAGGTGTAGGGAAATTTAAGTGCATAGTACTAAACATACTCCCTCCGAGGATTCCTGAGTGTTTGTCCACTTTCATTTTTGCACACCATCCAGTACACTTCTTTAATCCATTTTATCTTGTAATTTGTATATCAAAAAATTATAAAAATTATATATTAATAATCTATATGTTAAGACGAATCAAACAAGATCACACATGACTATTTTTAGGCTTACACATTGAGAGAATTTGATGAGTCAAAGTGCTTAGATGAACAGTTCCAAAAGTCAAAAGTGGACAAACACTCAGGGACAGACCAAGTAGTAAATTTTTAAATTCAGTACCATATATTTTAATTTATTAATGTAATACTACTATTCAATGTCCACCGGATGTTGTTCAAGTAATGTCCACCGTCATTGGACATTGTTTAAAATAAATGTTCACCGCCACTGGACATTGTTCCCGTTGTTGGACATTATTCAAGTACCATTCAAGAAATAAAAAGTTTTAATACTATATTAGAGAAAGACATGTTTTAGTACTCCTTCCGTCCCAATTTATAGTGCATGTTTTGATTTACGATGTTTGATTGAAATTATTTTCAAATCATTTTATATGACAAATGATATAGAGTTAAAATAAAAATTATATATTAAAATACTACATCAAAAGATTTACAAAATTAGTAGTGGCAATAGTGCTTTATTTTATCTAATAACTCATAAAAATAGAGAAAGAAAGTTAATAAAGTTTAACCATGTAAATAGTAAACGGGTATTATAAATTGGGATGGAGGAAGTACTATTTAGTACAAATCTCACATTTTTCAAATGGTTTAGGAGTATTTGATTTAGGGTTTATACTTCGTATGTTCTATAACTACTTACAAAGAAATGGTTTACTTGCCACGCCTACACGTCACATCCAAGTAACAAGAATTATCAATGAATATCAGGGTATTAGTAAATCAACTCCTACTTTGGTTAAATTCACCCCATTTGTTATCAGGTGTTGCATCAATAAATTCCATTTTACAACAAAAAGAGTTGATTACTAACAATGTATTTGGTTCAAAGAATAGAATTAAAAAAAGGAAGGAAAATACTATGAAAAAATAAAATGTACTCTGAGAAGTAAAACCAACTTCTTTCCATGAAGAAGAAACAACATGAGAGATTTGGAGGTATTCTATTGGACAATTCGTAGCCATGTTTTTTTTTTGAAGCAAAGGGAATAAAATTATATTAATGATATGATGAAGTAAGGGGGAGAAGTGTTCCATTCTCCCTTGCTCTGAGGTGAATGAGAAGCTCACGCTAGTACATGCAATTCATAGCCATGTTAAAGACCGAGCTTTGAACACATTGACTACTCCAATAGGAACTGTCTATTTATAAAATTTATTTAAATATTTAATGGTCTCATAGTATTTCCTTTGATCCTAAAGTGATTCCTATCCCGAAGTGCATCGTCCACTTCCGAATATTTAAAAAATTACGCGATTTACCTCTATAATTAAAAGATGCACTCAATACCCTTGAACTCTTCAGAAATTACACGATTTATCTCTGAATATTTAAATAAAGACGATAAATTTGGGGAAAGACAATTTGAAGGATTCACAAGGATCAGATGAATCATACTCGCAGGTCTCGTGCGTGTGAGCAATGCATTGCCTATCTAGCATTTCAGAACCAACGGTGCAACATTTTAAATTATTTAGGGGTACTTGGTGCATTTTTGAATGTTCAAAGATAAATCATGCAATTTTCAAAAAATTCGAAAATAAACGGTGCAATTTTTGAAAAGTTGACTTTGGAGTCAAATTTATTGACCCCAAAGTCAACTAAAATTGGGAAATGCAGTTGAAAGAAGTGGGAGGGGGTGGAGGGGTCGGTTCAGGATTTTTTGACCACTGCACACTGCACGGTAGTACCCCCAATTGGGCCTCACGGATGACAATGTTAACCAATTTCAATTGAACCGTGTCCATTATCTTCAAATTGCAACGTACAAAAACAGACATTGCAATGTTGAGAGTAACTAATGCCATTCCAATTGGTTCAAAGCGCTCGAAGTAAACCAAGGCCAAAGCTGCCTTTCAAAACTTAGAAAAAAAAACAAAGGCCAAAGGTGATTGATTCATCTATGGCAAAAAAAAGATGATGATCTCACCAAATCACTTCATTCACACCAAGCCTAAAGGGCTATTATGATAAGATACAAACAGTGAAGTTTCGGATTTACCTCATTCAGAGCCTTTTGGCTGATGAGAGAGAGTCTTCAGGAATTGAGATTAGTCCTGCAAAGCTGAGAAATCCAGTGCATCCAAAAATGGTGGTACAGTGTACATGTCTCTGTAATATAATACTAATAATAATAATAATAATCGGGGAAAAAAGGGAGTATTTGATTTGATCTCACATCTATCCTACTCAAACTCAAAAATGTCGAAAAATGGAGTGTGAGAAAGAGGGGTAGAAAAGAACCCAGTAATTAATTCAATGAAGAGAAATCATACAGGAAATGAGGTACTCCATATAATTATAACTTAAGAGCTGCAATGGCTTCAGGTTTAAAGTCAACCCTGAGCCCCAGCACTCTTCTGACCTCAGCTGGGGTCAGTCTCCAAGTCATGGGTCCTGAGTTCTCCCCCCAGAAGTCAAGAATCTCAGACACCTTCTCCAGGTTCAGTATCGTCGCCATCTGGGTGAGCCGCGCGAACTTGTCCCTAACAGTCCTCTGCGTCACGCCAGAGAAGTAACTCACCAATGCCCTGATGTCTCTGTCCAGCTGCAGACCTCCCAGCTGACTGAACCTCTTCTGCAGCATGATCACCTCCAGCCTCTTGACCAGGAAGTCAATGACCAAATGTATGAAGGAGTCGTAGTTGTTGGCTGTCATGAGGGGCTGGAGCCACGCCGTGTTGCTCTCAGCGGCGTGGAGGAGCCGCTGGACCCACGGGTCGTTCACCTCGTTCTCTGCGTATTCGGCCTCTGACAGCTCGTAGCTTATGGTGGCCACGCTGTCCAGCAGAGGCCGGATGCGTGGGGTCACTGTGGCTACCAGCTGCTCCATTCCGGCATTCAGGGCTTTCTTGAAGCTAGTGCTCATCTCATTCAGTTCTGAGAGACAGGATTTTACTCTCTCCCTGTGTGCAGGGGTAGGAAATACCTGGCAAATTTAATGGACAAACTCCCATCAAAAGCAACATTTCAATTTGCAGTCCATGTTTTATCTCAATATTTCAATTTGCAAGATATCTTATTTTTCTTAGAACAAGCACTTGAGAGCACCACAAAGCTCTTTCTTTTTTTTTACTTTGCACTACAATTGGTAAACTCCACACGCCATGATTTACCTTAGTATTATTGACCTTTCACGGTTGCACCGCACTCTGAGGTGCTCGAGTGCGTGTTCAAAGAAAATAAATCATGCGGAGTAAAGTCAAATATCGGGATCATGCAAATACCAATTTTCCCATTTTCTTTCTACATTACTTTGAATAAACTTTTAATGAGAGTGGATATACAGCCCAGTTGGTAAGGGTCATCTGGCTGAAATGTCAACTTAGTTTTCAGCAAATAAGAAGCATTTAGTAAACTCCATTTCAGCCAACAAAACAGGGCAAAAGCTACTTGATCTACTTATTGTGTTGATAAGCAAAATAAGCCAATTACCACTACCAAAGAGGGCTGGGCTATTATTATCACATAAAAAAATGTTGCAGATCACAATTGTCTTATTCAATAAGTTATCTAGCCTATCTGAATCATGGAATAAACAAAGAATTTCCATCTGCACACATACCAAAAACACTAACCTCAGCACATTGCTCTTCAATCTCATGGCGTAGTTTCAATATATACTCGCTACTCACATCCACGTTGTTCAAAGCTGTGGCAATCTCTGTACCAGTCTTTTGCACCCCAACACCGCCCAAGAACAATTTTGCCCCAAGATTAGGTTCCCCCCTGATCTTCTGCTGCAGAGCCTCACTATACTCGCCACCTATCAAACTCACAGCACTGCTTAGAACAGCAATCACAGAGTTGATATTTGATGTGGATATAGATCTTTGACAACAACTCTGGAAAACATAGAACACATCATCCACCATCGATGTTGTGAGAGAATCTAACACATGCTCATCTATCTGTATAGCTTTTCTAACATTCTCAACCATGAAGTATCCCTCCAAGATAACATAATAACCGATTATATCCTGAACAACTTTACTGAAATTACCACTCCTGAAAGCTTTGGTGGCCCGAGGACCTAGTTCGGGGTCAACAGAACTCAGTCCCTTTATCTTTGAAATCATGTAATCTGTGTAGTCCTCACCCAATTGTGCCAGAGACAATATCTCTTCCAAATATACTTCTATCTCCCTTGGATCGGGCCCTTCAACTCCCACAGAGAGAAGATTGCTCTTGGAAGAGTTAATCTCTGATGTCAATATAGCTAATTTTCGATACTCCATGTATTTCTTTAAAATCATGGAGCCCCGATTGTCACATTCTTCTTGAAGCTCACAAATGGCATAAACTATTGCATCCTCTCCGCATAAGCCCCTCAAAATCTCGTCATTTTCTTCTATAGCCAATACAATGTCTCTGAAAAGATTCGTCAGAGAAGCAACAAAATTAGGCTGATTTTGATTTGGCACAAGAGCTTGCTGGTTAGGGTCGTTCATGGCCTCCACCAATTGCTCGAATTCATGCCGACATCTCATCGCAATAACCTTCTTCAGATAACCCACGTAAACCTGCAAGCCTTCCTCCTCCAATTCAAGTGGCGAATAGAGGCGGATAAATCGCAGCACAGTGGGGTGGTCCCTCTGATCCACAGCAGCCGAAAGCCTCTGGCGGACAATCGCTTCAAGCTGCTTCTTGGAGGCAAGGAGTTGCTCTCTCTGTTCGGAGCCAGAGGAGTCCCTGTACTTGGTGTCGATCTGAAGGAAAGACTGGACGTAATTGGCTGCGGATTCAAAATCCTCAGAATCTAGGGCTTTCTGGACGCCGTCCAGACAACTGGTGCGGTGAACGATGGCATCTATGCAATGGAGAGTATCATTGACGCGAGATTGGGCGAGATCAAGCTGGCGTACCTTGGCACTCACCTGATCGGCGAGGAGCGAAGTGGATCCGACGTTGGAGAGGAGGTGATCGGAATTCTCTTTTACGGTGTCGAGAACTTGAGCGGATTTCTGCAAAGCTGAGAGCTGCTTGTCGAGATCGTGCCGCTGGGAAAGAATCGCCTCCAGGTCCAGATCTAGGGCACGCTGGTAAGCGATGCACTCATGGAGAAGACGAGTCATGGCTCCGACATCAGTGAGCTTACGCACGCGCTCCAGAGCCTCCGGGGTGCCGAAATCCAACGATAGATTCGCCGCCGATGAATCATCGCCGGAATCTCCTTTCGGAGTCCCGGCTCCGGATCGCGATCCCATCACTGCGCCTTGAAAACGGGGAGATGCTAGCTAGGTCACGCCGATGCCATGATTGATTGTTGTGTTCATGCCAACGGATTCATTTCCCGGAGAAATGGCGAATCAAGATTAACGAATACGTAGCGCTTCTCACTTTCGAGTAGCGAAGACTATGGAGGAGACTCGCCGACGGCGACCGGCAATTTGAGGGCGCTCGGCCTGATGACCAGTAGAGAAGACGGGGACTGAGTAGTAATTAAGACATTTCAGGGTGTAGTAAGTTAGTAAGTTGTACCATTTGTTTGGGTCAAATGTACCGAAGAATTTATGGAAAAGGGCAGAAAAAAGTTGGAATTTATGAGAATACCCTCCTAGATCTAACAGAGATTTGCGTGAGGCGCGTTCGCTCTACTTGCGTAAAATGAGGGGAAATGACAGAAAGGCCCTTCCAACCAAGAAACAAAACGTCACTGTTTATTATCGTTACTTCAAAAATTAAACGAAATATTAAAATTAACGACCAGCCGTTAGGTTGCCTTCGAAGCGTCACGATGATTTTTAGAAAGGCCAAACGGCGTCGTTTGAAGCGCCAACCCCTCCTTAATCCCCCGACCAGTCTTCGGAAATGATACGCCTTCATCAATCGAAACTCTTCTGCTCTTCGTTCTACATTGCTTACCGTCGTCGGATACCTTCAAGAACTATCACACATCTCTTTGCCATGGAGAACACCGGAGCAAGTAGCGGGTTCCAGTACAAGAGAAGAAGAATTCTAACCCAAACACAAAGGGAAGAGATGGAGAATGAAAACCAGGTATTTTCAAATAATTCTTACTTAAAATTAACTAATTTTTGTTTTATTTTGAAATATTTGGGATTGGTGTCAGATTTCTGCTGAGGTAACTCCATCTGTGGAGGGTCAATCGTTCCTGGATGCTTCGGAAATTGAGGTGCATTGCATGTACACTAAAATATATTCCCTCCGTCCCCCTAAGATGTTCTCATTTTGACTTTTGGTGGTTTTTAAAGAGAGTTGAAAAAAGGTGAAAGTTTACCATAATACTCTTAATGGAAAATGGGTGGAGTGTATTAAATGAGGTGGGTGAGGTGTAATAAATAAAGTAAGTGGGGGTAGTTGTGGTATTTTAATTGTTAAAAAATGAAATGAGAAGATCTATTGTGGACAAAGAAAAAGGGCTATTGAGAAGATCTATGGGGGACGGAGAGAGTAACATTTAAAGTTTATTTTGTTTGTTTTTTGAAACATTCGAAAACAGAACAAGTTATTCGACCATGGGAATAATCAATATAATGTTACAGTAATTGGTTACAGTCGAATGCAGTCGAATCTATTTTTTGATTAGTTTTTGATTTTAATTCTAGGTTCCAGCGTTGGATTGCACCATTGATATTGATAAAATACCTGGAATGAAGTTAACCTTGAAATCTTCTTTGGGGGAGTTCCAGATCTGATGCGCGAAGGACTTGGAGATCATCCAGAAGTCCTTGATTTGATTAGGGAGAACACCCCTTTTTCTCATTTTTTGGATGTTGAGTGTATTCCTCCTCCTCCTCTGTTCCTATGGCAACTCATTGTGAGGGAAGCCAAAATAAAGAGGAAAGGAGAGATGTGGTTCGTTTTCAAAGGAGTTCCTGTCAGGTACTCCTTGAGGGAGTTTTCACTCATTAGCGGCCTCAACTGCTCTCACCTTAACGCCGGATTTGAAAATTCTAATGAATTAACCTCTGCAAAGAATGATTTCATTCGAGCTCACTTTCCTTCTGCAAAGAAGGGAAAGAAATTTGCTGCAGTCACATACAAGATGGTTGTGCAGCGTTTCTTGGAAATTTGTAAAGGATTGGACAGGGAAAAGAAGAAAGAAGGCCAGGAGATGGATGCTGTGAAAATGGCAGCACTTTTGTTTGTTGTTGTTGTTCTCTTGGGTCCTACTGATCGAGACAAGTCTGCAATTCCAGATTGGATTCTGGGCATGATTGCACAGTGGACAGCAATTCTAGGTTTCCCATGGGGAACCTGGGCATTTATGGAGTCCTTGGGGTCACTAAGGAAAGGCCTAGCTGCTAAGGCCAAATCAATTGGAAGATGGGCCTCATCAACCATGTACTATACTGGTTTCTTACTTCCCATTGGGGTAAGGATTTTTTCAATTATAATATTTCTTATAATTTTTACTGAAATGTGATCTCGTTGAAACTTTCAATATGAAAAGATCCTTTTTCTGGAGAGTTGCTTGGGGACTAGAGCAAATATTACAACAAGAAGCCCACAGACATCCCGAGCTAGGCCAAGAATCTGCCTTTGGGGTGAGATTCCAATAAAGAAGAAAATCACCCACACAGAAATGGATGCTTACGTTGGGGACGTGCAGGTATATACATATTATACCTCAATAAAAGATTAAAAATTAAATGAATTCCAAAAATAAAGTGTCATTGTTTTGGTTGCAGACTCTAAAAAGCATTCTTGTTCCCGACAAGTTTGAGGCAACTGCAGAGTGGTATTTGAACTTCCATCCTCTAGAGACCACAAAACACCCCGAGTTGGATGCATTTGTGGCAAAATTAGAGTGTAGAGGGGAAGTCCACATTCCGGTGGAGAGGAAGAGAAAATCCCGGAATGTCCCTTCACCAACAAGAGATAATTCTGAAGAGCGTAATGAGCACATCTCCTCTCCCCAAGAATCTCAGAGGAGTCAGAGCCTTAGGGAATCTCCTTATAGAGTCTCCCATTCCAACATCCCAAATCCATCGTCTCCTACCCCTCACCCCGCCAAGCCTTCATCCAATTCCTTTCAAGAACTCTTTGATCGAATGTCAAAGAAAATTGATAACATTGCAGAAGAACAAAGAAAGAGGTTTGAAGTGCTTGAAAAAAAGTTGATGCTTTGTCAACTTTAATAAATCAAAAGATTGTGAATAAGGTATGATGAAAGCTTTTGAAAGTCATCCAATAATTTTAAGTGATCAGAACTGATCTATTCTTATGTAAAAATATGAAGGTGAATGTAACTGAATCAGGAGAAGAACCAACCAAGAATCCGCAGGAGGTACGTCGAATACAAACGAAGCAATCGAATGTATATGAAATGTTTGAATACCTCGAATGCAGTCAAAACGTTTTGTTCAGTTTTAAATTTGTAAGATCTGTTAACGTTCAGGTGCCAGAGATGACAATCATGGGTGATTGTGAGGAGACTGAGGCACGCAATCCTTCCCCTGACCATAAGGTTTAGGGTTTAATAGAGTTATTTCATTTTGTTTGCATATGTTAAATGAAATAATAATATCATTTCATGCTTCTTTCTCATCATTTTCATACTTCATACTCTATAGGTTTCTCCAAGACTTGGTATTCTCCAAATTGTTAGGGAAATAAAACAAGAGCACGAGAATCAACCTTCAACTCTTTCTGATTCTGTTCTTAGTTTGGAGAACAGAAAGGTAAAGTTCTAATCTTAACTTACAATGCATTGTCCTTTCGAAAATATATTCATATTTTTGTTCTTGTCTGCAGGCTGAGTCTACCCACGAGACAATGGGAACAGAAGATGCTACCTCAATGAAGCCTCTGCAGGAAATGGTAAAATAATAAATCTTACTACAAGTGCCTTCGAAATAGAGTCGAAGTTTTCAAATGTATTCGAATTATCTGTAGGTTGAGTCTAGCCATGAGGTAATGGAAACAGACGCTGCTGCTTCTATGAAACCTCTGCAGGCTGATTCTACCCACGAGACAATGGGAACAGAAGATGCTACCTCAATGAAGCCTATGCAGGAAATGGTAAAATAATAAATCTTACTACAAGTGCCTTCGAAATAGAGTCGAAGTTTTCAAATGTATTCGAATTATCTGTAGGTTGAGTCTAGCCATGAGGTAATGGAAACAGATGCTGCTGATTCTATGAAACCTCTGCAGGCTGAGTCTACCCACGAGACAATGGGAACAGAAGATGCTGCCTCAATGAAGCCTCTGCAGGAAATGGTAAAATTTTAAATCTTACTACAAGTGCCTTTGAATTAGAGTCGAATTTTTCAAATGTATTCGAATTCTCTGTATGTTGAGCCTAGCCATGAGGTCATGAAAACAGACGCTGCTGCTTCTATGAAAACTCTACAGGACAAGGTAAATTCTGGATGCTTTGCATTCGAAATGCAGTCAATATCTTCGAAGTATTTAGAACATGTTTATTTACACTCTATTTAACTGTAGGTTGTTTCTCCCCCGAAGGAATCGGGAGACGAGGCTGAAATTACTGATGCCATTGTGTATGGAAAGGTTTGGTTTCTTACTTCAAGTGCTTTCGAATTGGGGTCGAAGATTCCGAAATAATTCACTTATTTTTTTATTTTAGAGAGTGAAAAAGAAGTCAGCCAGTTTGAAGTCTCCTTATACAGCGGACGGGAGGAAGAAAAAGAAAGCCGATGAGCTCTTATCTAAGCCGCCAACTAAAGTAGATCTTTTGGAATTTAAGAGCTTCATCATAAAAGCAATTAAAGAGGACCGCCCTGTACAATGCTACCTCGCACAGTACAAGGAGATTCAGGGATTTGTGAAAATGTGGTGGACTGACCTTATCACTCCAGGTCTTTGGTTAGCGGATACTGTAAGTTGCATTAACCTTTCATTCTTCGTACACAAACAATGCTTATATCTTTCGTTTTCTAATAACATACTACTTTTGTTTGTTAACTAGTATCTGAGTGAGTACCTTTACGTCCTGAGAAGACGTTTATGCAATGACGATGGAGACTCATGCATTGCGCCTTTTAAATTCTTCAATTACGTGAACTCTTATGCGCATGACCCACAATGGCCTGTTTTGTCTGGACCCCTTGAAAAGATTGTGGATGGTACATACAGCGAGGGGCCAGAAGCATTTAAAACCAAAGCCTGAAAAAAGAACACTAAGTACGTATATTATTTGAAAGGCACGGGTTCACATTAGTTCTGTATCAAGGCTGACTTTGAGAGGTGCCGCCTCGTCGTGCATGACTCCCTTAAATGTATAACTTTGAATGAGAAGATGGAAAGTTTGCTGATAGATGAACTTAGAGGGTTTAAAGGCATTGCTGGAATTAGAGAAATCAGCAAGCACGGATATGCCGATTGGGAAATCGAATACTGCCCAGTACCCCAACAGATTGATAGTGACTGCGGCATCTTTGCGGTAAAAATGTTAGAGTTGGGAGCACAACATCAGGATTTTAAATCTTTGGAGAAGATGACAAAAGAAAAGATGGCCAACATGCATTTAGAAATTGCTTACTACATATGCAAGGAGTACCATTGTAGAAACAAAAAATAAATTCTGTGGTGGATACATATATTATTAATAAAATTGTGGTGGATGCATATGATTTCATGGAATAGCATATATTATTAACAGTATTATTAATTATGTGGTGGATACATATGATTGCATGGAATTGCATGTAAACACGAGTAACTAATATTACGGGATTACATTCTAAAACTTGTTCACATAAAATTACATAAAAATCAATAATTCCATGAAATTAACTCGGATCGATCTTTGAGTAATTTCTTTTTGATCTCTTCAATATTTCGGTCTCTACACAAGGTGCTGCTCATGCTAGCATTCCCCTAGATCTGGAGATTGGGTTTGGCTTGCATTTGTAATGTCCGTTTGTTCGATCAGACAACACCATGCCTCTGAACTAGCACGCATGCACATTTCGTCATCATGTGCTGCAGCCGAGGGATGCGTTATCTGATCGAAAAAACCATTACGACCGTATTATCTGATTGAAAAAACCATTAGGACAGTTAGAGAAAAACAATGTACATGAAATATCCATTTCTATCAATCAATGAAATAAAGGTAAGAAATTCTGATGTGGGTAAAGAAACAGGATTGTAAGATATGGAATACATTGATGAAGAATACTAACAGTGAAGAATATAGGAGGGATATATGAATTTAAAAAGGAGGGGTAAGTGGAGTACTTATAAAGGTGATTGAATATGAGTGCAATTCAAACTGAATTTATTTCGGGTAGCTAAAGCGGTCAAATCAGCTTTTATTACTCTCGTTGATTTCTAAGATAATGATAATAATAATAATAATAATAATAATAATAATAATAGATATTGATAATGATAATAATAATAGAGAGGGCCATTGAGATAAATCCAAAATGAATAACTTCGACTGTCCCGACTAATATTTGAATGCATTTCGAATGGACTTTACACAGTAATTAGTTAAAAATTAAAATGGAAGAAGATATGTGTGAGCGGTTGCATTCAATTCGGGTAGAAAATGAGCGGTCAAATCAGCTTTTATTACTCTCGTTGATTTCTAAGAGCTCAGGAAGTTAAATGAGATGTAATTTCGTTCATTAATAATAATAATGATGATGATAATGATAATAATAATAGAGAGGGACATTGAGATAAACAAATATCCAAAATGAATAACTTCGACTATCCCGACTAATATTTGAATGCATTTCGAATGGACTTTACACAGTAATTAGTTAAAATTTAAAATGGAAGAAGATATGTGTGAGCGGTTGCATTCAATTCGGGTAGATAAAGAGCGGTCAAATCAGCTTTTATTACTCTCGTTAATTTCTAAGAGCATAGGAAGTTAAATGAGATGTAATTTCGTTCATTAATAATAATAATGATGATGATAATGATAATGATAATAATAATAATAGAGAGGGCCGTTGAGATCAACAAATATCCAAAATGAATAACTTCGACTGTCCCGACTAATATTTGAATGCATTTCGAATGGACTTTACACAGTAATTAGTTAAAAATTAAAATGGAAGAAGATATGTGTGAGCGGTTGCATTCAATTCGGGTAGATAAAGAGCGGTCAAATCAGCTTTTAATACTCTCGTTAATTTCTAAGAGCTCAGGAAGTTAAATGAGATGTAATTTCGTTCATTAATAATAATGATGATGATGATAATGATAATGATAATGATAATAATAATAATAATAATAATAGAGAGGGCCGTTGAGATCAACAAATATCCAAAATGAATAACTTCGACTGTCCCGACTAATATTTGAATGCATTTCGAATGAACTTTATTACCCTTATTACATGAATCACATGATTGCATGGAATTGCATGGAGTTGCATGTAAAGACGAATAACTAAAATTACATAAAATTCAATAATTCCATGAAATTAGCTCGAATCGATCTTTGAGTAATTTCTTTTTTATCTCTTCAATATTTCGGTCTCTACACAAGCTGCTACATTGCTAGCACGAATTACGTACTCTTCGTTTGAATCAATGTTGCAGTAGTAAAGATGGGTTTTACCAGAATCCCAATCATCATGTGATTGCATGGAATTGCATGGAGTTGCTTCCCTAGAACACGACAATAATGTGCAGTGGAGTGGAGTGGAGAATGGTTGATTCTGTGTGGTTTCCTTGTGGAAAACACGACAATAACCACACCAATTGCTTCCCTACACGAGATAATGCAGAAAATGCCGTGGAGCATCTACTGCAGTAATGGATAAAACGGATAATGGTATACGAGATAACCATTATGACCGTTTTGCCTTATCGAGATAACCATTAGGACCGTTTTACAAAATTGAGTAAAACCATTACGAAAGAGAGGTGAGAAGTTTTGATGATTGTAAAGAAATACGCTTGTAAAATATGGAATACATTAAAGAAAGTGTGTTTATAATCTGGAGATGATGCAATGTATTTATAGGGAGGGGGGGCGTATTTGACTGATATTTGAATGGAAACGAAGGGACTTTTACACCCTAATTAGTACGGAGTTATTAAATACATGAATGAAGATAAGTGTGAACGGTTGGCATCCAATTCTGGTAGATAAAGATATGTGTGAACGGTTGGCATTCTTAAATAAGATTTAAATTTCGGTCTTTATTATGTTAATAATAATAATAAGGATAAAAATAATAATTCAATATTATTGGAATAAATATTCGATTATTTCGACTACATTTGGAACGTATTCGAAGGCATGTTTGAATTGTGTATGCACAATTTACATTTAATTGGCGTAGACGAAGAGTTGTAAATTCAGATTTTATTATTCTTGTTTATTTATAAGTTTTCATTAGCTTAAATTGAATGGAATTTCGTACATTAAAAAAATACTAAAATCAGCAACATTCGACCTTCTCGATGAGTATTTGACCACATTTTGAATGGTACTATTACACCCTAAAAAAGAATTCTTGTTTTATAAATTACGTTACTTTCAATGACTAATGGAAGTTTATAATTAAAAGAGCAGTGAGAGGAAATTATGGTGCGAAGTGAAAGTAGAACAATAATCTAAATTTTAATATAAAAAGTTTTTATTAAAAAATACATAAAATCAAACTTCAAGTACGCATAAAAATACCTTTATGCGTATTTCAGGATATGGATGAGAAAATCACAATCACCAAAATGTTGAAAAAACAGGACATGACTCTCATTTAGGCCGTGATTCTCAACAAACGCTGGCCATGATTCCCTGAGAACATATTGCCATGGCTGCATGCTTGAACCTTTACTTCAAAAGTGTGTGGCGCTAGTTTGGAATGGGGAGTCACAACTGTGTTATCCGGAAAACAAAATTGAACATGTCGGGGTAGCGCCTACAACAGATCCAATGAATTTGTGAGTTATAAAATATAACTTTAAAAAAATTAAGAAAATATAATGAAAAAGGAATGAACAAACCAATCGCTCTTTGAACTTGGGATCATGCTCGAGGATTACTGTAAAATAGAACATAATGATCTTTTTTATTTTCGCAGGCAATACGGAACAGAAGATTGGGAAAACCCTAAACATAGTTGCGTATTTATATAGGCCGAGCAAGGCGGAAAGGGACGAAAATGGTAATAGATGGGAATTTTTAGAAGAGTCCCGCCATTTCATGAATAGGCGAGACGGGAAAAATTTAGTCCGAAATTTCAAGGCGGGATCGGAAAATTAGTCCGCCATTTCATGAAAAGGCGGGACGGGAAAATGTAGTAGATGTATCAATCTAATTAAGAGTTTAACTGTAGTGGTAGTCTTTACCTGTTGGTGTTAAGAATTAATTTCGGACCGTAGTGGATGTAGCAGTCCAGTTAAGAGGATAACTGTAGCAAGGTCGTACCTGTTGGTGTTAACAGCTAAGTTCGGACCGTAGTGGATTTAGCAGTCCAGTTAAGAGGATAACTGTAGCGACAGTCTTTACCTGTTGGTGTTAAGAATTAATTTCGGACCGTAGTGGATGTAGCAGTCCAGTTAAGAGGAAAACTGTAGCAAGGTCGTACCTGTTGGTGTTAACAACTAAGTTCGAACCGTAGTGGATGTAGCAGTCCAGTTAAGAGGATAACTGTAGCGGCAGTCTTTACCTGTTGGTGTTAACATCTAAGTTCGGACCGTAGTGGATGTAGCAGTCCAGTTAAGAGGATAACTGTAGCGGCAGTCTTTACCTGTTGGTGTTAACAACTAAGTTCGGACCGTAGTGGATGTAGCAGTCAAGTTAAGAGGATAACTGTAGCAAGGTCGTACCTGTTGGTGTTAACAACTAAGTTTGGACTGTAGTGGATGTAGCAGTCCAGTTAAGAGGATAACTGTAGCGGCAGTCTTTACCTGTTGGTGTTAACATCTAAGTTCGGACCGTAGTGGATGTAGCAGTCCAGTTAAGAGGATAACTGTAGCGGCAGTCTTTACCTGTTGGTGTTAACAACTAAGTTCGGACCGTAGTGGATGTAGCAGTCCAGTTATGAGGATAACTGTAGCAAGGTCGTACCTGTTGGTGTTAACAACTAAGTTCGGACCGTAGTGGATGTAGCAGTCCAGTTAAGAGGATAACTGTAG